TTATCTCGCCGCATACGAAAGATTGCGAACTGCTCAGGAGTACCGGACGGCGCATTCAATCAAACCACAAAGATGCCAACTAGGAGCTTAACCCAAAGTGCAGGCAGGGTCAGCTGCCGTCAGATGTGCTCCATCTCTTCCACACTTGAGAACAGTCTAACCATGAGCCTATGAGAGTTGATAAATAAAAATGACTTGACGACTTACTTCCTCTGGCGAAAGATCGTACCAATTCTCGGGAACTTTGTATTGCTTGGAAGAACCAAAATTTATGTAGTTCAGGCATTTCTTTGCTTGTTTCATGTACCCTGAAAGAGTGGTTTTTGATTGAGGGGACGTCCATATTCCTGTAGTAGTATGCTACGCTGAAAATACGTTCTGCATTCTGATGCTAAAGGCATTCATCTTTCCTAGTTCTATTTCCGACGGTAACCTTGAGGTATCTAGTTAAAGACGAACAATGATAGCCCAGAGCAGTGCAGAAGTGGCGAAAATCAGTACATTAAGAGGAATATAGGGTGGCTTCCAAGCAATTAATCAAAAGCTATACAAATCACTTCCGTCGGTGGTGCAATGGTAGGTGGCGCACCTTCATACGCGCATGATCACGAAATCGAGCACCGGATCGATATACAACCAGGCTAACCGGACCTTCCATCCCCCAGGGCAAACTATTTTGTATCACACCCTCTAGTAGGATAAAAGTACTCAATTGTACATGTCTGCATCGCCACAACACTCGTATGACGAAACATCGATCAAGGGGCAGGNGACCGTAGAAATTTTGGGAGCGAGAGGGTCCCTTCTACCACCCATGGGGACCACTGAGTATTCCTAGGGGAGAACTCAGTAACCATTTCTATCGTGAACAGTGCCTTTACCCTTTTATAGGGCACACTCAGGCCCATCGTATAATGTTTTAGAGGTACAGTTCACGATAAAAAACACGGTTTGGGCGTATCATTGAAATGACCAGGAACCAATTATTTCCTTACCCTTTACAAGTGCGTGGTAATCAGATACACTGTGTAAAGATAAATGGCGATCCGGAACATTTTCCTCGTTTGAACTCGACGTTTTCGTGTCTTCGTTTGAAACTGAAATAAGGGTTTATATTACAGTGAATTCGACTGCACTCGGCGTTGCAGCATCTTTTCGATTTTATGGCCCATTTCATAAAACCGGCCCGTAGCATATGTACAGAGATGGGATTTCTGTCACCCCAAGTCTCGAATTTTTCAAAAAGAATGAATTGTATTGAACCATTTCAAAGTGTTTTGTGAGACATTCCTTAATGAATAAATAGTGAGGAAACCTTTGAATTCTTCTTTATGAAATGAGCTTGAATGTAGCGATTTCAGCGGTATGCTTGCTAGATAACCCAGGAGCAAACCTGTTGTACTAGATCTCATTGGTTCTACACTGCAAAACGCATTTCTCCTTGTGAGAGAATGAGTTTCGGTAAGAAATGAGCTACAGACTGAAAAAGTTACAGTCTCTACTGAATTGTTTATGCCGGTCTCTAGGTGCTTACCTGTAGCGTCAGACTTGCTGGGCTCCAGACTGCAAACTGCATTTCTCCTCGTGAGAGAATTACGACGTGGTATCGGCGGTTCAATAACTTTTGTAATGGCAAACCTGTAATTATCATCAGTTTTCGATATAATCTAATCCTGATATACTTGATTTGTACCTATGCTCCCTTTGCACAGGCGTTAGAGTGTGTCGTGGCTTGGATAGCTCTTTCTGTAGCGTATATGGTACTCGTTCAGATATTTTATAAGGCAAGCTCGATTCCGACTTTGCTCGTTGATTTTTGAGAGCCTAAATATGTCCGAGCAATTGAGCGACAACCATCTATGGGATTTTTCGTAAGCAAGGAAGCGATTTAACGATGGCAGAGCACAGAATGTATTTCCGACCTCTTTACTTGCCTCACTCATATATGACCTAAAATGCATATCGATGGTTTCTACTGCTTTGCCAACTCTGCGTGCTGCCTCTTCTCTTCGAGCGGAATCTCCAATCTGAAAATCTTTAATTATAATTATTGAAAGTCTCACAAGGTTGGCGATTTGTGGGCAAAACTCCAGTCTCGGACTGGACTCGAACCCGTACGTGTCCTTTCCGGGGACCGAGACTGGAGTTTTGCCCACAAACCGCCAACCTTGTGAGACTTTCGCTTCGCGCACTGCGGCGTTAAAACGGTAGTTAACAAAACATCAAGTCAAAACAAGTTGTAATTATTGAGTTTATCCTCAAATTTTCTTCAAAGAAAAGTGAATAGTTCTGGAGGAAACTTCAGTGGTTTCTTTCGTTTGATAATTCAAATTTTGAGCACTACTTCTATCTGCAGTTCAAATCACAGAGGCCCGCTCAATTTACTTCAGCGCACGCTGCACGTTGAAACGCAATTGAAGGCACAGTTAACGATAATTTTGGGGAATATGTAGTCCCGTTCCAAAAATCGATTTGTTTGAAGTAATAATATAAGACTTCAAAAAAGAAGTGACATCAGGGGTTCGCGTCAGAAGCGTCG